GAGTATGGGTCACCATACTTGGCCACATGTCACGTCACTTTTCACTTTTTCACTTTTCACTTTTCAATATTACAGCGAGAATAAAAGTTACTCCTTCTTTCTTTGTGTGAACATTTGGGCGGTGTTATGCAAATCTTCGCACATCGTGACGTAGACATGTGGGGGCGTGTTTAAACGAGCCGTTTTAGGTAGGCGTGGCTGACTCTTAACTTTTATAAAGAATATCTCTTTGGATTTGAGACTTTAGTCTTTGCAACTTTACAGATCTTCTTTATGCACCAAGAGCTTGTAACACTCCAAAGAGAAAGGAAAACTTGAAATTGCATCATATGACCCCTTTAATGTAAACCTATCAAGGTTTCTTCAGGTTATATGGAGGTAAATGTAAAACTTTCTAAAGACCTTTTGAGACTAAGTAAAGAACATTCAAGGAATTGAATTGAGCTGAATTAACACATTATGTCAAATATGTTCTCTACATGTAATTGTAAAAAAAAAAAAGCTTAAGGCTTGAATATGGTATGGAAAATGGATGAATGGATGGATATCACAATACAACACAAAAACTATTTACCTTATTTTGCAATGCGGAAATAAGCTATTTTCTTTGAATGTGTGAGACTTCAAATTCATTAGCTGCTATATTGGTAAATAACTTGAATAGAATAGTAAACGGTAAAGCTATTTGCGTTACAAACCAGTGTGTTTATGATTATGATAATAAAGTAAAATATAATAACATATACCAGTTTGGAATATCGAGCAACATTTAAAGGACTTTACTATAGCCTACAGCTAAAAACAATGGAAGAAAATTACACCGGAAGCCCGCAAGTTACAAACGGCTGTGCCCGCTTTTACGTCAAAAATAAGTCAGATTAGTTAACTGTAAAGGGATGTTCAACAGACAGTGTACTGAAACTTATTTACAGAAATTTCGTTTAAAAAGTTAATTTGCTTGAGAGCTGTTATAACAAACTTGTCTTGTAAAAGGTCTCTTCTTCATGGCACTTGAGGTGCAGCTTGACTAGTTTTCTCTGCTGCATGTTGAGGTAACTTCCACTTAAGTCTGTTTGTTCAGTCCAGAACATAAAAGCAAATGATTCATAGCTATTTCCGAGTGCATATACTAGAGAAGCCAAAAACTACTGCATGGACTTTTCTGCTCGAGTCTTACACATCGGCCAAATTTTAAAGACCAACAGATGTGCGAGGGAAACAAACACACACAGAGACTCTTTCAAGAGGCCTGAGCTGGCAAAAGAATTGATTCAGGAAATGGGTTTGGGACACAAACTCAATAGTGTGTTTATCTGCTGTTTTTCTGTTATGAATCAACATGGCAGTGACTCATGGTGGTCGACAGCTTTCCAAACAGCATAAAGCCACGGCAGGTTACTGCTCCATAGAACGGAAGTCATGACTCACGATGATTAATACTTAATGATTAAGCACACACAAATCAGGCCTAAATGACAAGTGATTTAGATTGCCTGTGACAGATGATAGATAAACTTACATATTGATAGATAGATAGATAGATAGATAGATAGATAGATAGAACAAAATAGAACAGAGTAATAGAGCATAAAATGTTTGGCTCTAGAATGATTGCGGAAGCAGATATGGTGAAGTGAAGGCCCTGCTCCAGAAGCACAGCTGGTAATGCTATGCCTGTGGGAAAACTGCTGATGGTGCAGTGTGAGAAAGAGAGGACCATAAAACATGTGTTTGACTCCAACTCTCTGGCCAAGGGCCGTAAGTGTCCTGGTATCTCCACATCTCACCCTGGGCTTCTCGGAAGTGAGAACATGACTCACAAGCAAGCCTGTGGTCTGTGTACCTGTGACGTGGACTGGCTGAATAGAGTCGGAGTGTGTGGTGTCAGCTGGTGACAGCCGTGCCTGCCGCTGCAGTGCCACCCTGCCAAGAACAGAGTGACCGCGAGAGCAGGAAAAAAGAAGAAGAGACCAGTTCTTCTGCCTCTGTTGAAGGCAATGCTCTAGTACCCTCTTGTGTTCACATATCATAATAATCACGCTGAACACTATATCACATGTTTGATTTAAGATCTTAAGAGTTACACTATATAACAGTCTGACTTGATGTTCACTCATATTCTTGGAAAATATAAATGGACTCATATAAATGGACAATGATATTAGACAAAATCAATTAGTCTTGTTTGCTAAGGTAAGCGTCCGTATTATCATTGCTCCTACTCTTCAAAGTTACATTAGAATGCATGCTGAGATTTGATGTTTTCTACAGATGTGACTAAATTGCAGATCTGATCTGTAAGTTTTAATTGTTCAATGTTGCGCTTGAAATGAGGTCAGTAGCTTTACTCTGCATTCCTGCAGTACTGCAGTCTGTCCTGATAGAACAGCTCTTCTCTTCTCTTCTCTTCTCTTCTCTTCTCTCTCTGTATATTTACAGTAGAAATTATATTATTAATATTAATAATATATTAATAGTCTATTAATATTAATAATATATTAATAGTCAGCTATTCAGGGTTTTGTGAAAAATGCATGCTCTGGATTTTGATATACTTGTCCTTTTGGGGATGCTAAATTGTGAAGGAATTTTTGATATCTCTAATGGTGGCGAGGAAAGGAAAATATGGTGAAAATAGGGGAACAGGAAGTGTCTAATATCTTTTGCACACTTTGTCTGATTTTGATCAATCTTCAGCAGTTTGTTCGATGAGGCAGATCCCATAGATGTGACTATTCGGAGTCAAAGTTATAGCGCCACCAGCTGGCAGCAGGAAGTGTGTCATTTTCAAAATGCTTTGAAATCAGCCTCTTATTTTTACTCGATTTTCTTAATCAGAATAATGTCAAAACATGGCAGATGTAAAACTGCTAAAGGATTCTTGATATCTTAAGTATGTTGCCATGGCAAAATGTCGAACCTGAATATTATTTTCAGGTGTTTTTAAGGCACTATTCATGCTTAATTAGTTAGTATAGCCTCCACTGACCGGTCCATCACCCCTGCCTCTTCATCTTGGTTCAAGCTCCCCATCCCACTACTTTCTCTGCTGTGTTCCCTGCTGCAGCTTAAGTGTTAGTCCATGCGATTGTTAATAATTCAATGTCAGCGCTGCTGCACTCTGGTCTGAGGCTGAGCGTGTGCAGAGCAGCGCTAGCTGATACGCTCCTGCAGTCTGTGCTCTGACGGCTGCGCCACAGAGAGAGAGAGAGATAAGACTGCAGAGAACACTGGGAAAATCAAATACACCCTCATGCATGCACCCAGGGGACAGCAGTCTCTGCCCACTCTATCTGTGTCCCTCTCTTCTGAGTCTAACACCTCCCCACATCTCTCATTCACAACCTGGATCTTCTCTTGCAGTTTCCTTAAAAAGGACGGATAGAAACCAGGATCATCCAGCCATCTGTGTTTCTTGACTGAGAAAACTCAAGCTGGAGAAGAGAAAGTGGAAGATGGTGGAAGCAAGGCCAAGACGGACCCTTCGATGGCCGGACTGGCGGCTGTCTGTTTGCGTGCTGCTTTTGTGTATGTTTGGGATGGCCATGGGCCGCAGAGCTCCCAAAACCCCACGATGTCCAGCCACCTGCTCCTGTACTAAAGACAGTGCCTTCTGCGTGGACACCAAGGCCATTCCCAAGAGCTTCCCACCAGGAATTATCTCCCTGTGAGTACTGGAAAGATCACGTGTACCTATTTCTTCTCTCATTTTTTTGTTTGTTTTAAATTCAAAATAGGGGAAAGTTGCTCATATAAAATGACTATTATCATCGACTTGCCTATAAACCATTTTCTCAGCAGCATAACATGGATTGTCTAGAGTAGATGATTAATAGGAAGGAGACAGTTAGGTTGGCCATTATGTCACCTGTCAAGTGGCGTCATTCCTTTAGAATTGTGACAAGTTTTATGTGATTATGATACAATCATAAAGAAGTCTGAACAAAAAAAACAGAGTCCTATTTTCCATATAGTGACAGTTTTTGGCCTGCAAAGCTAAAAAAGGACAACAAAAACATTATAAAATAGTTGTTTTGACTCTATATTGCCATATATATTCCAACCTGATATTTGTTAGTCACTGAAATGAATTTTTCACCTGTCAGAGCTGCAGTGGAGGGGAATTATTAGGAAGCAATAACTTCATTTTAGTCTGTCTATCATACAGATCTGTTTTATGGCTTGAGAAGTCTATCGTGCATATATAGTGCATGTTATGTAATGCAGAGTTGAATGGACTACTTTGAGTTTCGTATGCTGGTGAACTATTCCTTGTTAAACTGACTGGGCAGATGAACAGAGTCATTTAGCTGAGCTGATCGAAGGTGTGGTGAAGTCTAAATGCTGCTCTTTTTTAGTCAGCTTACGTCTGCTGTAGAGACATAACCACAGAAACCTCATCATATACACGGTTATTATCCTCAGGGAGAACATAACCGCAGATACCATTATTATTATTTCATCAACTGTCTCCAATTTTTCAAGGTTTTTCCTCTCCCTGTTTGTGTTTTTATATACAATATCAGGTTCACTCAAGTTATCACACAATTCCATAGTATTTCATTAAATACCATTTGCATGCAAGTCATTCATTTATGAAGACTTATGAAGAGTTTACTCATATTCATGTCTGTATTCTGAAGAATTTTCTCAAACTATAGATTTCATGTTAGCTGAGTAGTACTGTATATAGAGTTGTGCACTCTATAATGGTGCCCTTATTTTCAGACTGAGAATATAAGAGGGAAGGAAGATCTGTGTCCTACTTTCCAATAATTAAATTGTGAGATCCTTTCAGGTGTGCAGAGCAACTATTTAAGAAAAAAGGCCAAACATAAGTGCTCAAAATTAGACTAAAATGACTTTTAACTATGTAAAGGATATATACACTGGGAAAAAGTGGTGCTTCTCCTAAATTATTCATCATAATGCTAGTGGTATACTTAGAGTGGGGGGGGGATACATGTATTGTTCTCATCAACCCGGACAACTTTCTAATTCACAGTCATTAGCTACGACCATCAGGAACCAACTACCACAAAACCACAAATCAACTCTTTCTTGTTTTTCACTGGCAAAATTTTTATTTTTATTTTACATTGGATATAATGAATTATAGTTCATAATATATGAACTTCATGATCCCCTGTTTGAGGAATACTGTTCTAGAAGGTGCTTTTTCAAGCTTGTGCACTGACTTCTATAAGATGTGATGCCTGAGCATAAACAAGAGGCTTGTAGTACACTCTAAAAAATGTTGGGTTGTTACAACCCAACTTTGGGTCAAATATGGACTAACCCAACCGTTGGGTTACATTTTTACATAAAATTTTTAACCCAGAAGTTGGGTTAGTCCATATTTGACCCAAAGTTGGGTTGAAACAACCCAGCATTTTTCATAATGCTAGTGGTATACTTAGAGTTAAAGCCCCTAAATCTATTATATGTAAGTATTAAATATTAAATGCATACTCATCTCATGCTATGCACCCAAATGATACCTCAAATCATGAAGCTTGCAGAGAAGAGGCGTTCTATTACTCTTCCAAGCAGCTGGACTTCATCTAATGACAATTAAACATCCCAAATCCCAAATCCCAAAACATCCCATAATTTCCAAATATTCCATGTATCTAAAGGCATACTACATACTCTGACAATTTGTTGTAATCATATGTTAAATTTAATACTAGTTTCTGAGCGAAAATTGTTTCCAAGTACATCTACACCATTTTCTGCATAGAGTTTTTTGACTTGGGCTAAAGTAACCATAATAGAAGAACACCATTGAAACTACATATCAACATGATAAAAATCACATATAGTGCCTTGCAACCACAAAGAGATTCCCTAGCAACCACCATAAACATCTTAGCATTGTGGTGGTTTTGCACAGGAAAGCATCATTCATAATGTGTTCAGAAAATGTGAAAATCTAGTTTTGTGTATAAATGTTCACTCAAGGCAGGGTTTTAGAGACTTAAAATGAGAGCCTTCTGAAATGTGATTTTCAGATGTTCTGAAGAGACTTTTCTGAATTCATGAGTTTTTACTTTAAAATGACTGTAACAGCAACTATATTTGTGATGATGATGATAATGATAATGATTATGATGGTGGTGTTTGTGTTATTCTATCAGGACTATGGTGAATGCTGCTTTCACAGAGATTCCTGAAGGAGCTTTTTCCCACATGCACCTACTGCAGTTCCTGTAAGTACCAAATGCACAATAATCCACCTCCGCATTTTCTTATTATGGCCTGTGTGTGTTTGAAAGTGAAAAAAAGAGTGAGGATTGTAACGTCCGTCAGCTGCATGTCTGAGCAGTGTGTAGTGTGATGTGTATCAGTGACAGACCCTCCATTTACAGACTGCCCACACTCACACAACAACAGTGTTTCTGTCCTCGCTCTGTGTGTGTGAGAAAGACACAAGAGAGAAGTTTGTTTTCAAATGACAGCATGCCAGTTCTTCAGTCTCTGAGACAGTAAACAAAATAAACACGTCAAAGAGTGAGGATTGTAACGTTCGTCAGCCGCATGTCTGAGCAGTGTGTAGTGTGATGTGTATCAGTGACAGACCCTCCATTTACAGACTGCCCACACTCACACAACAACAGTGTTTCTGTCCTCGCTCTGTGTGTGTGAGAAAGACACAAGAGAGAAGTTTGTTTTCAAATGACAGCATGCCAGTTCTTCAGTCTCTGAGACAGTAAACAAAATAAACACGTCCTGCAATATCAGATATGCAATGCTTCGTAAAATATATTAGTATCATACATGTAATGTTTAATTATATTATACAAATAAATAACATAAAGGCAGCGATACTAGATTTGCATGGTGATCTTTCGGGCAATACTGTTTTCAAATGTTTGTGATCTTTTAGACACAGAGTTAACAGATTTTTCTCTGTGTTTGCGCACAAATATGTACATTACAACTTCATAATTTGACAAATTGACAAGCTTTTGTGCAACTCTCTGATCAGCAGTAATTGTGAAATGTTATTGACAAGCATTTATGGTACTTTTTTTTAAAATGTGCATTTATGGTTTATTACACATTCTTACTGATGAAGTTGCAATTTATTAAATATATTAACCTTAAATGTAATATTGAATAACACACTACAGTTGAAATGATAATCTAGTACTTTACATATGCTTTAGGATGTTCGTCAACACGTTCAAATAAATGTACTTCTTTAAATCATGACAAAAGATTATTAAAACATAGCGATTTTAAAATACTTTAAGTTTTAATTTGACATTAGTGAGAAAAAGTGTACTTGGGTGTGTTTAGAAACGTAGAGATGTACCCTCTTTCAATACACTTAAGTGGCCTTTTATTTCAGTAATATTATATTATTTGCAAGTACAGATTTTTAAAAACATATTCTTAAGATTTGAAGTACACTACTATTTGACGTTTTAGTTCAAACCATAAATAAAGATGCTTGATTACTGGACTCATTTTTCATTTTAAGGACTGTAGAGGACTATATAAGCACAATGTGCTTATAATACTTGGAGCTCTCGATTTGGCCATCTTTGTTATTTCAGAGGGCTTACATTTAACAAAGGCTGTCTGTTTGTCATCTATATAGTACCTGTGTCTAAAATATATGAGAAATGTTCAGCTCAATGAAAGTGCACGCTTTTACTTTTGTCTCTTTCTCTTTTGTTCGGCACAGGCTGTTGAACTCAAACACATTCTCTCTGATTTCTGATGATGCTTTTGCTGGTCTTGGACATCTGCAGTACCTGTAAGTATGTTTCCGTGTTGATGGATGGATGGATGGATGGATGGATAGAAGGATGGATGGATGGATGGAAGGATGGATGGATGGATAGAAGGATGGATGGATGGATGGATGGATAGAAGGATGGATGGATAGATGGATGGATAGAAGGGCATGGATAGAAGGGTGGATGGATGGATAGAAGGATGAATGGATGGAAGGATGGATGGATGGATGGAAGGATGGATGGATGGATGGAAGGATGGATGTAAATCAATTTTGTAATGCATTACTTTTAAAAATAACTTTCCTCAACACTGCATTTCTTTATATAACAGCAGATGTGACGCCTCTTAAAAAAATGAAAATTTAAATCAAATACTTTTTGAAAGCCACTGAGATGAATGGGAATATTAATAGCTTTCTCCAGGTATTGAGCGAGACTGTGCGTGTGCATGTCTGTGTCTCTCATCTTCATGCAGGTTGTGCAGTTTCTTCTGAGTCCTTCTTAAGATTCAGGTAGCGTTGTCTTTCAGATGAAAGCATTGGCAGCTCATTGACTGCAGAAAGAGAGTGAATGAGATAAAAGAGAGAGGGGGAAGGACTTGTTGTTGCAGAAAGCTTTTAGCATTAATGAAAACGCCCACAACCTCAGTGTCATTAAGCTAAAAGCTTTAACAAAGCAAATGTGGCAAGGTTTGCAGAGGGAGGCAGGCATCCTCTTCTTGAATGCTGTGACTCATGAATCCATCAGGGAACAGGCAGCATGCCCTCACATCCTTAGCGTTTATTACAATAAATATAGCGGGAGAAAATATGCATTTGATTAATATCCCTGTCCTAATCTTTTATCTTTCTCTCTGAAATGGCAAACAGCACCTAAATCATTTTAATGACTTGACCTGCAAATATCTTATCTACAAATATTTGTATGAGTTGTTGGCTGAATTAATTTACATGCCTTAAATGGTTCATTTAATTCCCATATTCTCTTTTTTTAACCATACTTCCTTACAGATTTATTGAGAACAACGACATCCAAGCCCTGTCAAAGCACACATTCAGAGGACTGAAGTCTCTGACACATCTGTATGTATTGCATCTACCTATAAAGCCATCAGTTATCAGTGTAATGATTCAAAAATAAAAATGTAAATAACTGAATAAATCCATTTGACGTATGCATTTAAAAGTGTTAAAAATGCAACATTTAAATTGAATTTTATTAAGCATTTACAGTTTCTTTTTTATTCATTAGACAACTGAGTTGAAAAATGTCATCGGGCAGTTCACATGTAGGACTGTTCTCACTAAATTTTTTAAAATGTATTATTTTTTTATTAAAATGACATTTTAACACCGTGTCTACACCGGATGCGACAGTTGTCACATCGAGCCACGCCGCATCCAGTGTAGACAGCATCACTGATTTTAATGGGTTCTAGTATTTTGCCGCGTCCGGTGTAGACACAGTGTAAGCTGAAATTGTCATGAATTTTTGAAAGAGGTAACAAATAAATGAAGAAAAGCATTTGCCAATTGGATTAAGACAAGTAAAAAAGTTCAAATAATATAATAAATAAACTGTATTCTTTTGTTTCATTGCTAAAATCATCTTAAATATGAATTAAATGAACAGTTTAAATATTAAGACATTATATTTTAACATTATTAAGGCCTACAGACTGGAAAATATCATTGTGCGACTTATACAGTGGTTTTCAGGATGGACAATACTTATAAAGAAATTTCTATGGATACATTTTATCTGAGCTTTGTCTTGAGCAACCAAATAGTTTTTTGACACCTCTACTTCCAAAACAGTTCAGACTCATTTGGAACAGAACACTTTTATATATGATCCACTCCACAATCTTGAATATTCAGAGAGTACATCACACACTAATGTGTTGGTTATTGTACCTTATAGATTTGAATGAAGAATGATGGGGTAAATTTGCAGTCCAACATGATAAATAGGTTATGTTATGTCTCTACTTGTCAGGTCTCTGTCCAACAACAACCTGCAGGTTCTTCCCAGAGATCTCTTCAAACACCTGGACATCCTCACTGATCTGTATGTACCAGACACCCAGATATTCCCCTGTGAGGGATTCTTACAAAAACAAGCCTTTTCTTTGCATGTATACAGACCCATTTATACTGTATGTGAAAAATAGTAAGCATTAAATTATAAAGGCTAAATGTTTCCAAAATAAAATGATTAGCTTTTATTTAGCATTGATTGTACTAAAGCTAAATCAGCTTATTTAGAATTAAAAATTAAATATATATCAATCATGACAACTCTCGGAAGATTTTAGCATGGTGATGGATATGACAATGTTAATGTATTTAGTCTTGGCGGAACAGATCTGCTACGCTGCTGCTGAATTGCTGCTGCTGTTGGTTATTGCTGTAGTTGTAGATTATTGCTGCTGCTGCAAGCAAGTACAGGAACTTGCTACTGCCAATGCATACGGCGATACGGTGCCGTGAGTATTTAAGACATACTGCTGCTGCACAAATAGCATATAAAATAACCCGTAGCAGATCTATACAGGTGGAGCTGGGGAAGGTGGAGGGTTTCAGAGAACTCTGAAAGCGCGCTGCAGGAATCTCTAGTGAATGCTAGCCAGTCATATAAATGCAAGGCAGTAAGCTCATTGGCTGCATGTGCAGCATGAACCAATCAGCTGTGCCAAGTCGTTTAACTCTCTGAATATCATCGGTTACGTTAACAACCCGTCGCCTGCACCATCTAGAGTTTCATGACTGAACTATATATTTCTTCACAAAACTCAAATGTTCCACAGATCCCAATTTGAAAACCACTCACAGATCAGAGTCAACAGGTGAAAATTCATATATTTTTTAAATCTCTTTTGTACCTTTTTATTTCTGTCTCCAATGCAGAGACCTGCGAGGGAACTCGTTCCGTTGTGACTGTAAGATCAAATGGCTGGTTGACTGGATGGAGAAGACCAACACCTCAGTTCCCGCCATATACTGCGCCAGTCCTTTTGAATTCCAGGGCCGACGCATCCATGACCTCACACCGCGTGACTTCAACTGCATTAGCGCAGGTAAGCCAGTTCAGGTCTTAACAAATGGCAGTTCAGACAGGTGCCTGGAATCTGAAAGTAATATTTCTATACCTGTAAAACATATGTACTATACATTGACAAAAGTATGTGGACATCGCTTTACTATGGTCACGTGACAGCGTCAGCGCCATTAAGCTTTCAATCTTTGTTTAAAATTTTCTGGAAAGTTTGAATTAGAATAGTTTGCAAGAGTGTGATTTTAAACACAATGAGGCTGTGAAAGTGGACTAGTGAGTACATGAGTTTTACTGTTTGGCATTATAGCATTCAATGTCCCCGACAATCTAAAAATGCATTTCTAATGCTCGAATCTTTAGGAAGGCTATATATGCGAAGGTTTTTGGAGGTGCAGATTCTTTGCATCCACTGACAGAACAACATCTGAGTTTGACGGTCTTAGTCGATGTCTTGTGATTGATGAACAGATTGATGAGTTGTTAAGAACACTCCTCCTTGATTACATACAGCGATGACGCATGTTATGTGCGTGTCGAGGAAAATTGTGACGACACAATTCTTCCCATTTCAAATACTGGCATTTCAGAAGGGTAGCAATGCATAATTCATATTGTAATCTGGAGAGTTCGTTTTGAGTTTTGAAACTTGCATGTTTGTTTTTATTGCAGATTAACCTCTTACATGTGTGAATATCAAGAACATTTTGATACTCCATTTCATGACCCCTTTAAAATGTGGTGGATTAAATGGATTAAAGAACTCACAATATACACTGACTCTGATATGAAATGTTCTTCTAATCCAGATTTTGCTGTATATGAGACATACTTGTTCCAGTCTCTATCTGTGGAGTCATACGAGTTTAATGATGACCAGTACGCAGTTTTCGCTCAGCCCAACACTGGAATCTGCATTGTGTTCATTTGGGATCATGTGAACATGCTTTTCAAGACACATTACAACATCACATGTAAGTCAAAAATTACAAAACAGAGTTGTTGTTTTTGTATTACTTTTATTTAATAGAACCAATAAAAATAGAAATTTCCATAGAAAATAAAAAAATGATTGTGACTTTAACAGTAAAATACTGTAAAAATTCTACAGTAAAAACCTGTTAATTGGCTAACAGTAAGTTTCCATACTATATACGGTGAATAAATGTAATTACATTTAGTTTTAATTTTACAGTAAAATACTGTTAAAATTACAGGTTTTGGAAGTGAAAAAGAAAAGGTCATTTTATAATTTACAGTGAAAAACCGTAAATTGACACTCGTAGAATTCCCTGCATGATACTTCATATTTGATGGGGTTTTTTTTGTTTTTTTTGGTTGAAATTACTGTTTCTTAGTTTTTTCTTATCAGTTGTGTACATTAGGGTTTAATCTTACATCTAATGTTGTTAAATGAATGTTTATTGCATTATTTCAGTATCATGTGTGTCACCATGATGGGGTTTAGTGTTTGTGTGAATGACACTGTGCACCTTCTATATCTTGGTTTATTAACATTACATCAGTTAATGAAATACATTTTTTATTGTTAATTTAAGTAAAATGTTGCTACCATACTTTTTTACGGTGAAGTTCTGGCAACCACAGCTGCCGGTATTTTACCGTAAATATCACAGATTTTTTTATTTTTTTTTATTGTATATTTATGGTATATTTATGGTATTGTCTGAAGCAGTGGTTTCCCGATCCTTTTACCCATTGTACAAATCCTGGATTTAAATGTTTTGTACAACTGGATTTAATCTATTCAGAAACTTAATTGAATGAAAGTGTACTGTACATTAAAGTAGACTATTATTTCATTAATATCATCTGCAAGTAGTTTTTTTTTATTTTTTATATACCTTTAAGAATTGAAGTGCACTACAAGTGTGCATTCAGTATAATTAAGTGCACTTCTTTTTCACAAGGGAAGGCTCTGAATATTGCAGAGGTTGGGAACCTCTCCTCTGGAGTATTAGATTTCACTCAACATTAAGAATCAATACTCAAAGTGCATCAAGATTCATTTGTGTTATGTGTTCAAAACGTAGTTACATTCAGTTACTAATATACTAATGTATGTGCATTCCAGCTCGTTCTGCTGTGTATTGTAAACCTGTGGTTATCAACAACACTCTCTACATGGTTGTGGCTCAGCTCTTTGGAGGATCCCACATCTACAAGTATGTCTATGGACACTCAAATATTGTCTGACAATCCTTATAATCGTGTATAATCAGAAATAACCCTAAATAAAAAAAATTTACTTTTTTTTTTCTAAAGGTGCATTTAGTAGTTCTTTAGTGTTAGCATTTCTGTTTTTCACACACTTTTAGTATACTGATACCACAACAGTCTTATCATCAGTCACTGCAGTGCCATCTATTGACGTGGATCATCATGATCATCAGGGTGGACCTCAGTGCCAAATAGGCAGCCGGAGAGGTTTTACTGGGGTTTGAGGTTGTAAGTGCGTAAATGCCAAGAACTGCAAAATGTCTACACCTTTCTACATCTGCATTCACACATGAATTGATTCTGTCATTGCTAAATACTCATACATTAGTTACTGTAAGTGTAAGCCATCATCAACTCAATAAACATGTTCAATCTTTAAACTGATTACCCATTTGGGTCTTTAAAGCTAAATAAATATGTACTATATGCATTGCAATGATGACATGTTTCTCCAATAGGATGTGAATTATATTTTTGGACAGATGTCACTCCCTGATTCATGTATCATCATAGCATGAACATGTCTAAGAACATTATGTGTTACCAAGAGAAATAACAAGTTTCATTTTAGTCACTCAATTGAGCTTGACTGTTAAGGCTGTGCTTTAAGGATTTTCAATGCAGATGATTCTCTGAAAATGTTGAATTATTGTACTTGGACAACAATACACCTAATTTACTAACTGGTAGGTCATTATAAACTATCTGCTGTCATCAGCATGCATTACAGTAAATGACTGTGGTGGAAATGTCATTTATGATGTCACAAAATAAAGTTAAAATATCTGTATATCTTGCACAGGAATTAATTTTCTTTTTCCCAGCTTGGAGTGATTATTTCTCCAACGTTGTGCCTATCCTTCTACTCCCTCTCATTCCTTTTTGTCCATAGCCGTGCATGTACCTCATGCCAAAGATGAAGAGCTCTTCCTTTTCTGCCTCCTCTGTCTTCATTTTAGCGCAATCTATGGTGCCAGTATTCAGAGACCGTATGATCATTCATCGTCGCCGTGTAGGCTATATGCTATATGTCCTCCTGAGAACCAGAAAAAAATCTCTGTGAATTTAGTATTTTTTCATGTCATTACATTGTTTAGAGCATAAGAAAAAAAATGGAAAAATAACATTTTTGAAAAATGATATTTTATTCATATATGTCCTCTTACCAGGACTCAGTTTTTCTAAAAAATAAAATGACATGACTAGACATGAAAAGGTAAAAACAATGGGATTTTTCAAAAATCACCAATCAATTTTTAGGTTTCAGGATTTATAAGGATGATTATCAATTATGTTATAAAAGATATAACAGAATGATTTGATATACTATTTTACTTTATGCAATATGTGTGTAAAAGTTCCATAAATTGGTTTTCCCATTAAACGCAATGTTATCTATATACTGTACCTAATTTGCATATTAATGTGCTGTTGGGACAGCATGTTGAATGAATGAATGAATGAATGATGCATTTATATAGTGCTTTATATGTTGAAAAAAGAAGTGTAATAATGGGAGTAATAATTGGCCAGATTTTCATAATAATATCTAATATTTCATAAGAATATTGATATATAGTTTATTTTCCTATCTATTTGTTGTGTCTCCCAAAATGCATAATAAACATGATTTTAGTCCCGGTTTCCTCTCCAGTGGACATGTATGAAATCAATATCCTGTTTCATAACAGGAAGTCATATTTTGGTTTGAAACCCCATAACATTTTCCTGAGATGTTGATTTATGACAAACTATTTGAAAATAAATCAGATTTAAATGATCATTACAAAATATTATCATATTTCCATAAGGATGTACAATTTTATCACTAAATTAATGTCAGCCATTTTCCAAACATTTGGTATGTCTGAAAAGCCCTGAATGTGCTCCGTACAAGACATCCACACTTATAACTGTGACATGTAAGGTCTTAGAGAAATTCTCTCCAATATAATGTCCACTACAGAGGCAAAAACTCCACTGGGTCGCAGGAGGATATGTAACTGCAAAACATTTTTTTAAATAAATAATAATAATACCGTTATGACAGTCAAATAACATAATATTTATTCAGAAAGTCGTTCTTGGTAAAAAAAAAAAATAGATTATATAAATATAAATTGTTGATTGTCTTGTTAGTCACTTATTTTAATCAAACTGCAATATATATATATATATATATATATATAGACAGCAAAACACACTCCTCATATTTCTAACACATTGCTGGACACAAACGTTAGAAAGCAGTGGAGCCGTCCGGAGAAAATAATCTGGCCCGTTGCTCCTGATGGTTACATCCCCAACTCTGTCGTCAGGAGTTTGGCGCCATATCCACAGTTCAATCATCCTTGTGCCAACAGGGTGCTTTAAATAAAGACACAAATAGAAGAACACGCAAGACACAACTCTTCTTTCGGCAAAACACAAGCGCCTGTTAAAGTATTTTCTCGAAAATAATTGTCCTCTCAAAGAAGAGCAACAGAACAAGGAAGATGTAGAAATCAGTTTGGGACATTGCATACAAAGTGTGCCTGAGGAGACAAGCTTGACATCACTTCAAAATAAGGAAGACACAGAAGAGTGTCTTCCATTAAGGTGCAAAAGAAAAGTCATAGTACAAACAAAAATGTGCATGCGCCAGAGATTGGGGCTCACAAGAAGACCATGTGGCAGAAGACTGATTCCCCCTTAAAGAAACTGAAGTCATTTGTGTCACCCCTTCCTCTGCTGTGTGACAGAAGGCCTAATTATGTCCTCATGTATCTTTATAAAAGATCAAAAGCAGAAAAAGCTTCTGAAGCGGTGGAGCAGGCTCCAAAAGTGGCTTAGACCACAAATAAAACTTTTTATTTGTTCTCAAAATAAAATAGGTATTTATTTTTTGAGACTTTATTTTGTGACATAGATTTCCACCACTGTCATTTAATGCAATACATGCTGAGAGCATGGTTTATAATGACCTCAAAATTCAGTATTGCTGTCCAAATACAATAATTCAGCATTTACAGAGCATAATGTGTGCATGAAAAGGCCCTAATGCTAAATCATTATGTCAAGCGAAGCAAAATTAGACTGCATAAGTGAGACACACATCTTGTATCAGATATTGAAACAATAGTTCTAGCTCAAAATATTAAATTATAATTTATTATCATAGAAGTTAAAGGGAGGAAGTGCTGGTGTCTAAAGTACAGAAAATATCATTATTATACAATATTAATGACAAAATCAGACAAAATCCATATGATTTACTTAACTGAACTGTGGATATCAGTACCACAAAAAGTGGATATCAGTACCACAAAAATTGTTTGGGTCAACTGTTTCTACACATTTACATAGTTTATGTATGCATGTATTTATTTATTTATTTATTTGTGTTAATCAATATGTTCTCCCATTTTGTTTTCAATGAGACAATAAAGAGGTTACATTTAATAGACTTCATTCCAGATTATGATTGAGGCAGATTTCTCCTTTAAATAAACGTTTAAAAAATGTTCCAATATGCCTTAGTTTCAGTTCAGATGCCTTGGAAGTGAGAATGTGTTGTACAGTATATGGTCATGCCCATCAAGTGTCCAATTAAATTTAGCCTGAAGTGAAATCAATACCTGAGATTGATGGTTTAGATTAAATCTTAAACCCATGTTTAAGTGCTGTTGCATAGTCATTACCATTTTAGAGCCAGAATGACATTCAAGTGATTTATGAAGGCATGAACTTCATAAAAGAAACCTTCATAAAAGAAGAAGAATTAATGACCATTAACTTAAATTAACATTTACCTGTCACATTTATGTAACTGCATGAGCATACTGTAAAAACAATCAGCTGAACTGAATTAGAGAACTAATTTAACAGACAAAGGTCTTGGGCTGCTACTGAAGGGATGTCCAGTCCTTTTCCTGGAGGCCACTGCCACTGTCCTGCAGAGTTTAGTTCCAACCCCAATTAAATACACCTGAAACAACAAATCAATGTCTTCAGACTCACTAGAAACTTCCAGGAAAGTGTGTTGGAGCAGGATGGAGCTAAACTCTGCAGGACATTGGCCCTCCAGGAGCAGGATTGGACACACCTGGAATATACTATGAAAGAAGCTTCAATTTTTTTTTGTCTATTAAACAAAATTCATTCAATTTATCATTCAGTAGTCAGAGTCAGAGTCAACACAGTATGAAGTTATTTATATTACATGTTTACAAAAACTGCAGAGCAACGTTTCAAAAGCATTTATATTTGCATTACAGAAGTGCAGGCCACACGGCATCAAAGTTATTCATATTTATATGTCTACATTACTGCTATGCATGCAACACTATATCAAAGTTGTTTATATTTATGTTTACATTGCTGCATTACATGCAACACTTTATCATAGTTGTTTATATTTACATGTTTACATTACTGCAATGCATGTGTCACAAACTGCTACTGTGAGGAGATGAAGGAGCGGAGAATTCGTGACTGAACAGTCTTTATTAATCCACAAAAGACACTCAGGCAGGAACACA